GCTGTTGTTTGATTTGAATCCTTCTGGCTGCTTGATGAGAGAACATCAGAGTAGAAGCTGGGGGACCCTCCAGGATGTTGTCACCATCCTGGTGGAGCTGTCCTCTCACCCAGCACCCAACTTCATGTTCAGGAGGTCCCAGGTCTGTGGAAGGGCTCTGGCCCCAGCTCGTGTGTCTCTGAGCACCCTGCAGTTCCTTTCCTCCACCCCTGTGGGAGTGTCCCACTAGCCACACCCTCCTCTGCTCAGAACTTTCTTCCTCTCCCAGCTTGTCTGTTGCATTGCCTTCCTGCTCTGCTGTGCCTGTGACTTGGGGATCCTCAGAGGAGATCAGCCCATTTGGGGATGAGACCCCAGGTGTTCCCACAGCTGGGCTGAGCAGGACGGGGGTCTGCAACCACACCAGTAGTGACCCTCTGCAGACTGATGCATGGATCCGGAGTGTGATGACTCCTACACTCTGGGACTCTTAGGTGTCTCCGGAGACATTTTGCTAGGTCTATGAGAAGGCCCTGGGAGAAGAAAAGGGGCTGTGCGGACTTTGAGATGAGCTGGTGAGAGAGACGGTGTCCATGGTGCAGACAGGATGTTTGGTGACAGGCCACTGATTCACAGAGGCACCCGGTGCAGCCACTTTGAATCTTTTTACCAAGAAGGTGGGGGGAGGGGGGCAAGCAGGCTCTCTTGTGTCATTGTTAATTGATTTCTTCATCATCCAGCAAGAAGCTGGCATGGGGCCAAGAGGAGCCTGAGCTGAGGGAATTCATCAAAAATAGGCCCTGGGATGGCTTGATAGATAATTACCCCCTCTCATGCTGCAGCCCTGGGTTGCAGAGCCGGGACTCCATCTGGAGGGAGAAAGGGCTCCTTGAGACCAGAGCCAGGACTGGAGCTGATGGCATCCCAGCCCCCTAGACCCTTGTACCACACACAGAGCCAGAGAGGCCTTGGACAACACCTGTCCACCTGCTGCCTTTCAGTAGAGGAAACGGAGGGTAGGAGCCACCTAGATCTGCTTCTAGGAGCTTCTGTCGTGCCAGTCAAATCCAGATGGTCTGGGTTTGAATCAAACCCTGTCTGCCCTGCAGTTGCAGTCATGGGAAGGTGATTTTGGCTCCCAATGTTCCTGTTCCCTCATCCCTAGGGTGGGTATGATGTTACTGGGCAGATTTGCCGACTAGACCGGCCAATACCTTCAAAGAACCTTCATGAGCAGACCTCGCAATCTGGAACCTCGGGGCATGAGTCCTGACCGGAAAGCCCATGGGAATTCTCTAGGACTGTTTCGATTGGTGGATGTGTAACTTAAAGAGCATGTGTGGGGACTGACTCTGACCACTGAGGGGCCAGTACCATGGTCGGGGTCCTCTCCTGTTTCATACAATGGCACCAGGGTGTGTTGGCTTTTCCCAACACCAGCCAGAGTCCTAATCCGGGAGAGCAGAGTACCAGAGGGTGAGCAATCGGACCAGAGTCCACGTGGGATTACCAGTGCACAGGGCCATGGTCAACCCTTCGCGCTTTACAGTGACAGGAAGGGGTACCTGCTTTCCAGTCCTGTTGGGGAGTGAATTTTCTGTTTCAGGAACGTGTATTTGTGTTTTTCTTTTATTTTGTGGTTGATACCGATTCAGAGTCTCACTCTATACCCCAGACAGGCCTCAAATTTTCAATTCTCCTGCCTCAGCCTCCTGAGCACTGAGATTACATAAACCTCACCTGTCTTGTATTCTTCCTTTAAAATTAGGCCCTTTTGTGAGACAAGGTGTCCCTGTAGCCCCAACTGGCCTGGAACTCGCTATGTAGACCAGCCTGGCCTTGCTCTCACAGAGAGCTGACCTGCCTCTGCCTCCCAAGTGCTGGGATTAAAGATGTGCACTATCATGCCTAGTAAAATGAAGCTATTTGAAGGAGCTTATGGTCAGGGCTGGAGAGATGGCCCAGCAGTTAAGAGCACTCGCTGCTGTTGCAGAGGACCTGGGTTTAGTTCCCAGCACCCACATGACAGCTAACAACTATCTATAAGTCCAGTTCCAAGGAATCCTACACTCTCCTCTGGCCTCTGCAGACATTGCGTGACACAGATGCACTTACATACATGCAAGCAAAGCACTCATACACAAAAAATAAAATTAATTTTTAATAAGTAACAGAAAGAAAGAAAGAAAGAAAGAAAGAAAGAAAGAAAGAAAGAAAGAAAGAAAGAAAGAAATGAAGTTCATGGAATGGGATATGGTTCCGTTGGTAAAGAGCTTGCCTTGCATGCACAAAGCCCTGGGTTCGATCGCCAGCACAGCATAAACCATGGTGGTGCACACCTGTAGTCCTAGCACTCAGGAAGTAGAGTCAGGGCATCAGGAGTTCAAGGTCATCCTCAGCTTTTGGGTGGAAGAAGTTGGGGGACAGAGTTTCCGGGTGAGAAGGGGCACCAGGCACTGAGGAGCACAGGGTTCAGCTGCCATCTGCTGTCTTCTCTGGGTGCCTCTGGAGACAGCGTGTGAGCCTCAGTTTTCTCGCTGTAACATGGGGAGAAAGGGAGAGCCAGTGTCAGGGATGGTGGTAGGGACCGAGGAGGCTCTGCAGGAGGGTGGTCCCTACCCAAAAATGACTCACACTGCAGTATGCCAGCTCTGCCTCTGCCTCTGGATTACCTGTTTTATCCCTCACTCCCAGTTGGCAGATGGTGAAACTGAGGCACGGCAGTGTTAAATGAGTGACAAGGACTCCAAACTATGGCTCAGGAGCTCAGAAAGGTCATTGTGGTGGCTCTGGCTGCTGGGAGACGAGTGTTTTAGCAGGGCAGGGGGCCAGGGAAGCCAGTATCTGCCCTCTGTGTGCCATCCTCAGTACCCAAGGCAGACTTCTCTCACTGTGTCCTCAGCAGCCTGGTGATGCAGTTCCCACCCCAGCTCTCTATGGAGCTGTTCTGTTGCAGGCTGGACTAGGGCTGGGAGGAGGTACCCTATGCCACTCTTGGTCCCCCTAAGGGAGAGGGGGATGCTCAAGGGAAGCACTGTCCCAATCAGCTTCACATGACACCTGGGTGGGAGCTAGGGTACCCAGCACAGTGGGTGAAGTGCCCACAGGCATAGTTGTCAGAGGTCAGAAAGGCTCATCTAGCAGCACCCAGGGAGGGGCGTGCCCAGGGAGACCTGTGGCTGCCTCCAACTTGGAGGCAGGAGGAAGGAACACCCAGAAGGGCCCCCGCAGGATCTGTGGCCACAGATGGAGAGAGGAAGGCACTAGAGAGCTATTGCATATTGTAGGTGGGGAACAAGGAGGTGGGGAGAGAGGAGGAAAAATAGCTGATTACCCACCCACCTTCTGACCTGCAAGTGACAGTCTACAGAGACTAACAGGTACCACATAGTGCAGAGAGACGGAGAGGGTGAACAGCACCCACCCAGAGAACCAGAGTAGCCAGCTCTGCCTTGGGGACCCCCCCAGACACTGGGAAAGGGTGTGGGTACCTAGGCCTCTGAGCTACGTAGACCCAAGGAATAAGGTAGACGGCTCTGCAGAACTCAGACCTCAGAATCTCTTCTCCTCTAGTTCCTGAGTAAGGTGCTGGGGACAGAGCTGTGACCAACACAAGCCCATCTCTGCTCTCATGAGGCCACCACCACAATAGGGTGGTTTGTTTGTATTATTTTTAATTAAGTGCCTGTGTGTGAGAGAGTGCAGGTGACGACCCAGACCAGTGGCATCAGATCCTCCTGGAACTGGAGTTACAGGCATTGTGAGCTGCCTGATGTGGGTGCTGGGACTAAACTCTGGTCCTCTGGATATGCAGTACATGCTCTTAATCTCTGAACCATCTCTCCAGCCCCCAGTGGGGGAGGGACTAAATAAAGATCATTTTAAGTTGTAGTAGTGACTGAAGGAAGTCAAATACAGAGTGTCCAGAGCTGGGGTATCTGCTTGGCTAGGGGACCAGCTTGGGCCTGTCTGAGGAGCAGACATTAGTGTCTAACCTTGACGGAGAGGAAACAGCCCATCATACAAACACTGAGGGGACAAAAACTCAGTGATTTTTCTTTTGTTGTTTAAAGCAAGTGCAAAGGTCCCTGGGTAGAACTATCACCTGCATTGCTCTGAACCTAGTCAGGGCCCTGCTTGTCATTTTAGGAAGTTCCCTCCAGCTGCCCTCAGGGTGGAGGGCAGATGGGAATGGGAGCGGACCCCCGGGCACTCTTACAATCCCCAGGCAGCCGTGACTAAGACAGCACAACCCTGTGGACCAGGGACCTACTGAGGGCCCTGGACAGGGCTCTGGGGTCGTGACTGGGTCTTTCCGCCCCACGGCGAACAGGCAGACTCCTTCAAGATCACAGCCATGTGGCTTGTCCTGACTCCATCCCCTCCACGCCCCCCCCCCGGAGTGGAGGCCCCATCCTTACCTCTTTTACCTCCCTTTGCTGAGATCCAGTCTGACCTGGAGTCAAGGGCAACTGAGGCCAGTGTGGAATGCAACAGTTCCTCTCCCTGAACAATTCCAAACTGACAGGAATTCTTGCCCAGCTGCGGGATCTGAGGATTAGGGCCTGGCCCGGGTCATGGCAAAGCCAAGCCCAGAGAGGAGAGTCTAAGCCACACAGCCCAAAGCAGCCAAGTACCCCAGATCACCTGCTGCTGGCGCTGGACCATCCTACTCGCTGCCTCATGCAGTGGTGCTGGTGGCATGTCCCCTGCTGTGGGCTGCCCCTCCTCTTGTCTCTGGGCAGGTTTGTCTTTTGAGTTGAGTAGGTCACTCAGAACCAGGCTCTTGTCTGTTAGGGGCTCTTCACTGTTTCCCGGGGAGTCCCTGTGAACAGCTGTGCTGCCAGTCTGCCCCCAAACCCACTGAAAACACTTCTCCAGCTTAGCTGCCTGCTGAGGTTTCACTGCCCCAGCCCATGGGCGATGCTGCCCTTGCCCACACTGATGCAAGCCAGTGTGCCAGCCACGCTGACGGCAGTTGTGATGTTAGTGCTGACCCTCCATTCCCTTTCCTCCTTCAGATACTGAGGGAAGAGGGGAAGGAACTCCATCCGCAAGACGCCGCCTCAGCCTGCACATCTGGGAAGAAGCGAGGGACCAGCAAGCCGCGCCCATGGCGCCCCCCAGCCTGCCGCTGTGGCTGCTGTCCACTGCACTCCTCTCCCTGCTGGCGGGGAGCTCGGCCTTCCTGTCCCATCCCCGCCTGAAGGGCCGCTTCCAGAGGGACCGCAGGAACATCCGGCCCAACATCATTCTGGTGCTCACAGATGACCAGGACGTGGAGCTAGGTGAGTGGCCTAGTCCCCTGGTGACATTTGGGGCTCTGGAGGCACCATGTTCCCACAGTCCTGCAGAAGTCCCAGTTATGTAGCGGTGTAGAGTTTACTAAGAGCAGATGTAAGCCAGCTCATGTGTGGGTGCCCTACACATGCGGGTTCCCAACTGATGTGCAAGGTTGGCGATCTCAGCCTCTTTCTAATGCAGAGTGGTTCCCCAGTTTCTACAACGTAAGGAGAAGAGAGGCTGAGGGAAGCTCATCTCATCGGCCACTTTCACAGACCCAGACACAGGGCCACACCCTTGGCTACCACCTGGGCCGTCCTCTGTCCTTTCCCTCCTGAGCAAGTCACAGATTCACCCACCAAGCTTCTGCTCTTCCTAACTACAAGAACCCTTCTCCATTTTTCTGTTAGTGCCTGTAGGAGACCCCAGAACTGGGACCACCAGATGGGGGCTCCAGCATCAGTCCCAGGTAGACCTCTGTCTCACTCACCTGTGGCGTATCTCCCAGTGAGCACTATTTCTCCCTCCCTGTGTCTTCTCAACCTGAAGTGGGATCCTCCTCACCTGAACCCTGCATCAGCACTGTTCCACAGGAACAGTCGACCCCCTGGATCTGCAGATTCAACCAAACACAGATCAAAAATATCAGGACAGATGGCTCAGCAGTTAAGAACACTGGCTGTTGTAGCAGAAGACCCGGGTTCAAATCCCAGCACCCACATGGCAGCTAACAACTGTCCGTAACTCCAGTCCCAGGGGATCCAACAGCCTCTTCTGACCTCTGTGGGCATTGCACAACACAGGTGCACTTACCTACATGCATATACATAAAATAAAAAAGATAGATAAAATTTA